CACTGCTGCACTCCAGCCTGGGCAACAGAACAAAACCTGGTCTCTAAAAAGGAAAAAAAAAAAGATGTTTACTTTTGTCTCTGCTTCTGATAGCCCATTGGTGTAAGTTTATGTCTATAAGAGACAAAATTGCTTTATTCTTGTTTCACTAGGGTCTTAGGAGAAAGTGAAAGAAGGTATTTATGTCCAATCTACCATTTTTAGCTTTAAAAGTCTCTTTTATCTTTGTATTCCTGGTATACTTATTTTTGTTAGTCCATAGTAAACATTTATGGAATATAAAGAGAGTTACTGAGAGAGTTACCCTCTCTTGGCCTTGCTTGTGACAAGATGGGTCAGACCAGGAGATGCCGGGATAAGTTGTTTCAAGACACATTTCTTTTCACTTCTGACTTTGCCTGGTAATCACTTTATCACTTAGGTCTGAGATCCCAAGGCTGCGCTCCCATGAAGATCTCTAGATTCAACAGGTGTCTGGCTCATCTGGCCTTTCTGACTCCTTCTTAGTTATTAACCTTGCTACCCCGACTGACTGATTGCCGAAACTACTCCCGGAGCTCTGGTTCCCAGGCAAAGTGACCGGTCAGGTGTCAGCTGCAGCAGAAACCCTCACAGCTGATCAAGCCCTGAACGTGCTGACTGCTGAGGCTAGTGGGCCTTCTCACACAGGAAAAGAAAAACCTTAGGAAACAACCATTCCCATCCATCTGTGAATAACCGACACGGAATGTCAGCAACCCGGATCTCCTTTCGGCTTGATGGAATCTGACCTCCACTCCCCACTCTCAAGTCCAGAGAAGACTTTGCCAGAATTATAATTTATCAAAACATGTTCTATTCTAAAGGGAAAAGGGACATTGACATTATTTGTTTGGAAAACGTTCTGCTTTGTATCATTGATTCTTCATATTCCAAATAATTTGTGGGATGACTGAGTTACTTGAGTTTTCTTGCAAAGGGAGAAAAATAAAAACTCTTATAGTTCTCTAGAGGAGTAGCATAAATTAAAAATGGAAAACGAGGCAGCAGTGATACATTCCATTTACCTTCAGCAAACACTGCACAGGGACACGCTGGCTGCAGAATCCATGATACCAGAAATCAACACTGACTCTTTTTTCAGATGTGACATATTTTCCACAGAACTGGATTTTCATCTTTGCTATGACTGCCCATGGCCACTCAGTTACTGGAAACCTACCATGCCAGTTCTTTACTAAGTGGCTTTGGCAAGAACTTTGCTAGCATTTAATTACAGTGAGAAAACTCCAGAGACTTTATTAGCTGTACAAAGAATTATAGAGGTATTAGCCTAAGTTGGATAAAGTCCAGAGCAGCTGTACTACTCTTCAAGTACGAGGGAGTTTCTAAGAGTTCTATTATGCTAACAGAAAAGTATCCTGAGGTTTTAACCCTAAATTATGTTAATACTGAACATAGCTATTCCTTATTTTATAAAGTAGCTGTATTCCTGAAAATGGCTGTGCAAATCTGCCTTCTAATACCCAATCCTCCTTCTCTATTCATATATTTTGAAAATGCTTAATCTCATTTATGGCTAAATGTCAAAGTATATATATACGTTTCGTTTTTTAATGTTTTTTTTTTTTTTTGAGATAGATTCTCGCTCTGTCACCCAGTCTGAAGTGCAGTGGCACAATTGTAGCTCACTGTAGCCTCAAACTCCTGGGCTCAATCAATCCTCCAACCTTGGCCTCACAAGTAGCTTGGACTACAAGTGTGCACGACCATGCCCAGCTTGCCCAGCTAATTATTATTATTTTTTTTTTTTGGTAGAGATGGGGGTCTCACTAAGTTGCCCAGGCTGGTCTCAAACTCCCTGGCTCAAGTGATCCTCCCACCTTGGCCTCTCAAAGTGCTGGGATTATAGATGTGAGCTGCTTTATCCAACCTCAATGTACATACCTTTTTTTTTTTTTTTTTTGAGACGGGGTATCACTCTCTCACCTAGGCCAGAGTGCAGTGGCATGGTCATGGCTCACTGCAGCCTTGACCACCCAGGCTCAAGCAATTCTTCCACCTCACCGTCCAATGTAGCTGGGGCTACAGGCACACACCACCATGCCTGGCTAACTTTTACCTCTGCATATTTTTGGTAGAGACAGGGTTTTGCCATGTTACCCAGACTGGTCTTGAACTCTTGGGCTCAAGTTATCTGCCCTTGTCAGCTTTCCAAAGTGCTGAGATTACAGGTGGGAGCCACCACAGCCCGCTGACTCAATGTACCTAGCTTTACTTTCAGTTCTACTTCTCCAAGTTTTTTTTTGACAAGTACTTAAATATAAAAAGAGTAAATACACTAATACAGCTATCTACTTAAAGGAGTGTTTATTAAATATTGTGATAATGAGTATTTGCTTATTATTTTGATTTTTGTATATTAATAGTAATTAATCTCAGCTTCATCCAAAATGTGCAGTCCGGCTCACTTAACCTGGCTTAACCTTCCAAAATATATTGGCTTGTAATTCACACACACCGCCACTAGGTGGTGGTGGTGCTTTGGCCACTGAATGAGCTTAGTATGCTCTTTCAAAATTATGTATAGCACCTAGCGGCTCTAGCCTGTAATCTCAGGACTTTGGGAGGTCGAGGCAGGCAGATCATCTGAGGTCAGCAGTTCGAGACCAGCCTGGCAAACATGGTGAAACCCTTGTCTCTACTAAGACTACAAAATTAGCCAGGCATGGAGGGTGCATGCCTGTAATCCCAGCTACTGGGAAGGGTGAGGCAGGAGAATTGCTTGAACCTGGGAGGCGGAGGTTGCAGTGAGCCAAGATCACAACACTGCACTGCAGCCTGGGAGACAAGAGCAAAAACTCCATCAAAAACAAAATATATATATATAAATATATATATATATAGATAGATAGATAGATACTTCGCTGTTGAAATAAGTACAATCATTATATTTTCCATTAATCATTCAATATGATCATTTCAACTTAATTCTCAACTTATTTCAATGCTGGATTAGCTTACATCAGTGTTTCTAAAAGTAAATTTTGTAGAGCACTAGTTTTCCACACAATGGTTTTCTATGCTGCATAAGAAATTACCACAATCTTCGCAGCTTAAAACAACAAACATTTAGATTTCTGCCTCCAGAATGGCAGCACGAGGAGCTCCACAGTCTCCAGCAAAGCCAGGATAACCAGTGAAAAATATATTTCAAACCCCAGCATTTAAAGTCTCCGGAAATTGTCCTAGGAGTATATAGGAAATAAATAAACATATATTGAAGAAAATGGAGTAAAACTTGGCAAGAACAGTGGGAGTCCATGGCATTTGAACCATAACTCCTTCCTTACCCAGGGCTGACGGTGCAGAAACTCCAGTCTAGACGGGTGAAGCCAAGAACACAAAGCTCTGTCTCCCCTTGGCTCCCACTTTTGGGTATGGTACGTTCCCGGGAGAGGGCAGGCCACGGAAATTTTCATCAGCTGTGGGTTGTAGGGACTACATTCCAGGTGAGCCAACCAAGAGGTCTGATGTTCGCTTCTTCCACCAGCCCTCACTGGCAGGTGCAGATTCTTCACCAGGTGCATCACATCGAGAACGTGGATGCTGTGCTTATCCTTGTTTGCAGGGTGGAGGCTCCACGCTGAGAGGGGTGGATGAAGTCATCCTTTTCTATCAGGAAGTGTGGAGTGGGGGATAACAAAACGGGTCAATGTGGGGGGAGAGAAGGTTTTGCATTTATGCAAAAAGGAGGTCAGTTCTGCATGACTTTTATTGCACACTGGTATAAGATCCATGAAGTAATGATTGCTTATGCATGGTGAAAGCTTGGTGCAACAGATAGGATACTAGACTAGAGGCTGGATACCTTTCACCTTAGTTTTGTTGTTTACCAGCTGTGTTAGGTAATTTACCTAACCTCCAGTGCCTCCGTTTCTTCATTACATAATGAACAGGGCAAATATGCAAACCAAATCAGATAACTTGTAAAGCTGCCTTAAATTGATTACCTATACGAATGTAAGAGTTTTTTTTTATTGTTGTTGATGACAGTGTAGATGGTTAATCACTAACTGACTGAAAATAATTGGCTTAAGGAAGCATATTCAATTAAGTAATCCTTGATTGATTAGACAGGTTTAAACCCAGTTCTTGTGGTTGTTCATTACCATGGACATAGAACGATCAGTTATACACCAGGATGGCTGTTCTCCACCTTCAGTGTGTTTTAGAATCACCTAAAGAGCTTGTGGAAATGCAGACTTCGGGAACCCCTCCCCAGAGTTTCTGATTCCGAAAGTCTGGATTGGGGTCTGAAATGGTGCATTTCTAGCCACTTCCCAGGAGACACTGATGTTGTTAGTTTAGAGACTGCAGTTTGTGAACTGTCTTTGGTGAACAGGACATTTTCAGTCTTGTTACAAATTGCCAGAAGGATCCTGAAAAAAAAAATCCAGGTAATATGAAAACTTTTTTTAAAAAAGGCACCTGCCCTAGTCTGGGAACTGCTAGAAATCTGCAAGAAGGAAGGAATGTTGGAGCTGAAATCTGGCATAACAGTGGTAGTTAATCAACGTAGCAGGGTGGCAGGAGAGAAGAACTGCTGGACCAAAAGAAGAACGTGCCAAAGGCTGGATGGAGCGTGATTCTTGATGCTTCTGAGGAACGGAAGGCCAGCGTGCTTGGGTGAAGCTGAGGGCAGTGGAGGCACCAGGGAGGCAGGCGTGAGAAGCCGGCGACAGCCCCTGCAGACTCGGAATTTCATCCTGAGAGCAATGGGAATTTGCTGAAAGGTTTTCAGCAAAAGAACGCAATGACCTAATTTGTGTTTTTAAAAATCCTCTCTGGCTGCTACACGGAACATTGGCTGGAAGCAGGCATGGGTAGAAATGATGAGACTAGCTAGGAAGGTGCAGGTCCAAGAGAACTGCTGTCAAGGGCTGACTGAGAAGGCCTAAGTGAGGTGGGCAGCTGCAGATGGAGACTGAGGCGTTTCCCGGAGAGGTGAGAGAGGGAGCTGCCACCTCCCAGCTGGGCAAGGTGCAACGTTCACTGAGCTGGAGGGTGGAGGACCACAGTGTGATGGTGAGGATGGGTGGGAGGGACATCCTGATTTCACTGGGGACTTACTGTGTTTTAATTTTTTAACTCACACTAGACTTCAGGATTTTTTTTTTTTTTTTTTTGAGGCAGACTCTTGCTCTGTTGCCCAGGTTAGCGTACAGTGATCTCAGCTCACTGCAACCTCCGCCTCTCAGGTGCAAATGATACTTTTGCCTCAGTAACCCAAGTAGCTGGGAGTACAGGCATAAGCCTTCCTGGCTAAGTTTTGTATTTTTAGTAGAGACGAGGTTTTTCCATGCTGGCCAGGCTGGTCTTGAACGCCCGACCTCAGATGATCCGCCCGCCTCGGCCTCCCAAAGTGCTGGGATTGTAGGCATCAGCCATGACGACCAGCCAGAACTCAGAATTTCTTTTTATTTGGAGAATATACATTTCTAAGACTTTTGAACCATGCATAGATCCACATAATCACCATTACTATGAGGACACAGGACAAATTCATCTCACAGAAAATTCCTGAGGATGTCCTTGGTAGTCAAATCTTGTCCTTACTCCTAAAACCTGGCAACACCAGTATCATCTTGGCCTGTATACTCTTACCTTTTCAAGAACGTCCCGATGTGGAATCATACAGTGGGTAATCCTTGGGGCCTGGCTTCTTTCACTTAGCGCAGCGTATTTGAGATTCATCTGTGCTCCTGCGTGTGCCAATAGCTCATTTCTTTTTATTCCTAAGAAGTAGCGTGTTGTTTCAGTGAACCCCTTTGTTTTGGCATTTATGAATAACACTGCTACAAAGTCTCATGGGCAGACTTCTGTGTGAACAGAGAGTTTCATTCCTCTAGGGTAAATGCCTAGAGTTGGGGTGATGTCTCATATGAGCTTAAGATTAACGATATTTTTAAAATTTATTTATTAATTTTTAATTTTTTTTTTTTTTTTTTGAGACAGAGTCTCACTCTGTCACCCAGGCTGGAGTGCAGTGGTTCAATCTCAGCTCACCGCAACCTCCGCCTCCTGGGTTCAGGCAATTCTCCTGCCTCAGCCTCCTGAGTAGCTGGGATTACAGGCACGTGCCACCATGCCCAGCTAATTTTTTGTATTTTTAGTAGAGACGGGGTTTCACCATGTTGACCAGGATGGTCTCAATCTCTTGACCTCGTGATCCACCCGCCTCGGCCTCCCAAAGTGCTGGGATTACAGGCGTGAGCCACCGCGCCCGGCCTAATATTTGTATTTTTAGTAGAGACAGGGTTTTACCATATCGGCCAGACTGGTCTTGAACTCCTGACCTTAGGTGATCCGCCCACTTCAGCCTCCCAAAGTACTGGGATTACAGGCTTGAGCCACCGTGCCCAGCTGAGGCTTTGCTTCTTCCACAAACAGAAGGAGGCAGACAGCAGAGTTGAATGCTGATCGGATGTGCTATAGGCTACCAAAGAAAGGCTTGGTGTACCGATGCAGACGTCATTGGTAAGCCCAGGACCGCCCTAAATAGGGGATAGATGGGACCATGCTGAGGAGGGAGTGGAGGTGAGGAAATGGAGTCAGCCGGTCAACTGTTTTCATTTTCTAATTTTAAAAATTAATTTATTTTTCAGAGACAGAGTCCTGCTCTAAGGCCCATGCTGGAGGGCAGGGGCGTGATCATAGCTCACTGGTCTGACTCTTGGGCTCAAGTGATGCTCCTGCCTCGGCCTCCCAAAGTGCTGGGATTACAGGCCTGAGTCACGGTGCCCGATCCAGGTCATCTTTTGAGATGTGGCTTTAAAGAGGAGACAGATAGATTAACAGATTTCCGTTTACGATCTACCTGTCTACTCTTTAAAGAAGGTCAAAGATATTTCATGCTTAGGCTTTGGCAAACTTTGAGAATTTCTACATTAAGAAATGACTCTTTTCATTTACTCAAGAATTCAGCGTTTGAGGGCCCATCATGTGCCAAGTATTTTGCTGAGACAGGAAAGATGGAGACAATGGAGGCCCCAGGTGACAGGCCACTAACTGTGTAGACGGCACTCCATCTATCAACTCGAGCAGAGCAAACAGTTCTGTTTATGGCATGAAGGCACAAGAGCGTTCTTACAGGTAACATCTTTCTGTAGAAATTGTGAATTTTGTCTTTGAGGTAATAAAATACCAGATCTGCAAGGGAACTGAGAGATCATTTAATTCAAATGCAGGAATTTGAGACCCAGAGAGGCCAAACAGCTTGCCCAAGGACTCACAACTCTGAAGTGGCGGATTCAGGGCTGGAGCCCTTATCTTCCGCTTCCCAGTTCAGGGGATTTTCCACTACCCAGTGCCAGATGATACACCCAAGTGTCAATTTCTGCATTTCTAAACTCACACGGCTTACCCATTCCTTTAAGTGGCAATGTTAATGAATTCCATGAGTCCGTGCTTATTTTCCATATTCTGCCAATTAGTTGTGGGTTGGGGTGATCCATTCCAAGGCCCTAGATTATGAAGTGCAGCGTCAGCTGTTTTTTTGAAGGTAATTCATTCCAAAGCTCGGACCAGTTACACCTAACAGAATTAACGGTTGGTTGAATTTGTCTCTAAATGTCTTTGAATTGAAAATCAATAGCCCTGTCTGCTCCCCCCATAGATGGCTACAGAGCAGCTGGGGCATGGGGGAGGTGGTGTCTCCACACACTGGGAAGGTGGGTATTCTGAGGGGCGCAGGGGTCAGGCTCAAAGCAGCCCCCCGTTACCTGGTGGATGACAGGCTGGAGCGGTCTGTTTTGGGAGTTGGCCTTCTTTTGCGATTCCAACTAGAAACAATAGTAAAGAGAATTTGATTATTTCTAACCTGCCCTCCCTCTGTCACTCTCCCAGCCCTGAGCAATCTGGATTGGGCTCCTACCATCTGGGAAATATCAATTTCACTTGGAAAGCAGGAGTATCTCCTACTTCATCTAGAACTAGTTACTTCCCCAGCCAGCAGCACATAAAGGAGAAACAGAAAAAGTATATATCATCTATCCATTGTACAAAACAGCCATTGTCATGCCCCTGGCTTCTGGCGATCAGATCAATCTTGGGTGGCCTCTGCCGTCCAGCCTAATCATTTGAGGAGGCGAAGGCTTGTCCTGCACTGATGTGTCTAGCAGTGTGGCTCTGGTGATGGCATCTTTAAATATTACCGCTGGAAACTGTAGGGGAGGAAAAAATCATTTCCCCTCTCTACTCTTCTAAATTCTTGGCTGGAACCCTGTAACAAAAGACAGATTAGTGAGAGAAAAATGAAGAGAAGTTTATTAACACGCATATCTCATATGTGCATGGGAGAAAGCTCAGGGAAAGAGTAACTCTCAAAGAGGTAGCTTACAACTCCTATGTATATGCCATCTTTAACAAAGAACAATACATTTTTAGAAAAGTGACAAGGGCCGGGTGCGGTGGCTCATGCCTGTAATCCCAGCACTTTGGGAGGCTGAGGCAGGTGGATCACCTGAGGTCAGGAGTTCAAGACCAGCCTGGCCAACATAGTGAAATGCCATCTCTACTAAAAATACAAAAAGTAACTGGGCGTGGTGGTGCCTGCAATGTAATCCCGGCTACTCGGGAGGCTGAGGCAGGAGGATCACTTGAATTCAGGAGATGGAGGTTGTAGTAAGCCGAGATCCCACCACTGCACTCCAGCCTGGGTGACAGAGCAAAACTTTATCTAAAAAAAAGTTACCAAAGAAGGATCCCGAGTCTCTA